TGCAGCAATCTTCAATGTTTGCACCAACATTTCATCTCAGGGATTGGAGAGATTTTGTGTAACACTCTCTCAAGTCCCTGAAAGATTATAGCCCTTTAAAGCTTTGACAGCACTTCTGTCACCAGTCATGTCAGATAATTCAAGAGTTAAATCCAAAATGTGCTATTTTACTTTAAAAAGGAGTACAGGCCAGCAATCAAGAGCCCACAAAGAGGAGATGACTACAGTTAAAGTGGTTCTAAAGGCTCTTTTTTTTCCTTTAAAAATATTAAACACATCATATTTACATGCTCTAATGGTTTTGCACAGATCAGTCCTGATCCTCCTCTTCTTGGGTCCCCTGGTGGCATATCTGGCCCCTCCCCCTTGCCGAGTGCCCCCAGGCAAGCTGCTTGCTCAGAGTGGCACTCGTGCATGCTTGCTCCCGAGCTGCCTGTGTGGGTCTTTGGGACATACACAGTGTGGCTCAGTCCTGCCCCCCGTTTCCTCCTCACTGGCTGTGATTGACAGCAGCCATGGCTCCTGCTGCCATGTCCCAGCCAATGGAGAGAGAGAGACCCAGAAGAGCTGCTGCTCTCGTGAACATCGCCGTATTGAGATCGTGCTGAGGGATGTATTAGGGGGGCTGTGGGGGGAGCTGCACACAAGTTTTTTACCTTCATGCATAAAATGCATAAAAGGTGAAAAAACCTTCAGCTTTTACAACCAATTTAAATGAGGTCAGCATCACAATGCCTATTTACCTATTTAAATGAAAACATTTCTGTTCTCATTACATACCTCCAGCATTTCATACCTTATTTTAGACCCATTGATGTCACCAGTGTCATCACTGGGTGGTTCTCTATAAAAATGCAGCCAGATCATAACTGATGGGTGAGGCTAGCAAGGTGGTGTACATAGCTTTCAGAAAACATCAGAGCACCATGCCTCAGTACTACTCTCATGAGCCATCAACCCCAATGTAAGCAAAGGGCTGGCACTTTCAGTGCTGTATTATTAAAGCAGTATGGACATGTCTAATTCCTACGGTTAGTAAAGAATATATACAGTATGTTCACGCTGTAAGTAAATTATATGTATACATATACAGTGCAAAAAAATATTTATTTTTACCCTCAATCCTGCATACTGGACACACAACTGTTACACTAAATTTACCATAACCCTCCCTTCCAACACACACAGCTGGAGGAGTTATGCAAACATTAAAATGCCTTGATGGGTGGATGCCAGTCTAGAGGAATGGGAGTTTCCAGGCAGGGTGCATGCTGCCAAGGTAATGCCCATGTGATGTTGAGTCTCCATGATTGAAACAAAAACCCAATAAATGCAATGGGTGGGCCAGTCTGTCATACAAGTAAATGGCTCTACCTGGCTGTGCTCATGTAAATGCCAATGCTTTTTTGCACTGGCATTTACCCATGCATGTGTGCCCAACAGACACACGTGTGGATAAACAGCAACACAAACAAGCATTCTGGGACTTGTAAAATGAACTGTGAATAGAGGAGAGAATCTGGTTATTGATCAGACTCTGCCTAGAGGAAACGTGAGGGAAAGAAAGTAAAACTAGGGAGTAATGGGCTAGATGACATTAGAATTCCTTCAGCCGCCAGAAAAATTAGGTGGCCTCTATATGACCTATTACAGCTTCTAAAGCTCACAGTGTGCAGTGAAATCAGTACAGGAGAGGCTTCTGTAGAGCTGTGCAAAACCGAGGATATGGCTGGGGTTCTGCTTTAATTAGATTTGCAGTTGTGCAGTTCAACAAGCAGGTGTTATTCATTACTACTGAAACAAAATAAACCAACGTCACAAGAAGGTAGCAGGCATCAGAACCTACTAATCTGCCATTTTAAACCTCCCCACTGCTCGTGTACCAGGGCTTGGGCTTATCAGGCACTGAATGCAGAATTGTAGGTGTTAGAGGGAGGCATCACAGGTTGCCCACACCACAGAAATACTAACATTTTGGGGTTAAAAGCAGCAGATTAGATGAGCATGAAAGCAGCGCCTACCTGCAACATTATTCTGAATCTGTCTTTCCCACAAAGTTGAGCTGTAGCCCAAGTCTGTTATTTGATGCTCACCTAGTATATTGTATCACCTGCAAACTGCCTGCAGTTTTAAATGTTGTAACATCAATTCTCACAGCAACAGGAAGAATATAAAATTTAACAGACTTCATTTCTATCAAAAACTCCATCCATTCTATTTCCCCCCAAATTTAATTTTTTTGCAAACATATAATTTGTTCCTAATAAATTCATAAGGAAATTTGTCATTTCACAACCAAAAACTCACTTTTCACAGGAGTTTAGTAACCCTCCAAATATGGGTTACCCCTGGTTATGGATTATTCTTGGTTTGATTTAGCAATAGAGTGGATCTAGTAGTGGAGACTATATTGTGTGCATATTACTCACCTTGTTGATCCTTCAAATTTCAGAGTGGAAGTCCAAGTCCACAATAGATCTTGCTACCTGAACAAGGATGTCAGTGTTTTACAGACCACATTATTCCCCACTTTCCACTGCTTACTGAGATGCAGTTATGAGTTGTGTGGCTTACATACAGTCAGGTCCATAAATATTGGGACATCGACACAATTCTAACATTTTTGGCTCTATACACCACCACAATGGATTTGAAATGAAACGAACAAGATGTGCTTTAACTGCAGACTGTCAGCTTTAATTTGAGGGTATTTACATCCAAATCAGGTGAACGGTGTAGGAATTACAACAGTTTGCATATGTGCCTCCCACTTGTTAAGGGACCAAAAGTAATGGGACAATCTCAGCTGTTCCATGGCCAGGTGTGTGTTATTCCCTCATTATCCCAATTACAATGAGCAGATAAAAGGTCCAGAGTTCATTTCAAGTGTGTTACTTGCATTTGGAATCTGTTGCTGTCAACTCTCAAGATGAGATCCAAAGAGCTGTCACTATCAGTGAAGCAAGCCATCATTAGTCTTAAAAAACAAAACAAACCCATCAGAGAGATAGCAAAAACATTAGGCGTGGCCAAAACAACTGTTTGGAACATTCTTAAAAAGAAGGAATGCACCGGTGAGCTCAGCAACACCAAAAGACCCGGAAGACCACGGAAAAACAACTGTGGTGGATGACCGAAGAATTCTTTCCCTGGTGAAGAAAACACCCTTCACAACAGTTGGCCAGATCAAGAACACTCTCCAGGAGGTAGGTGTATGTGTGTCAAAGTAAACAATCAAGAGAAGACTTCACCAGAGTGAATACAGAGGGTTCACCACAAGATGTAAACCATTGGTGAGCCTCAAAAACAGGGAGGCCAGATTAGAGTTTGCCAAACGACATCTAAAAAAGCCTTCACAGTTCTGGAACAACATCCTATGGACAGATGAGACCGAGATCAACTTGTACCAGAGTGATGGGAAGAGAAGAGTATGGAGAAGGAAAGGAACTGCTCATGATCCTAAGCATACCACCTCATCAGTGAAGCATGGTGGTGGTAGTGTCATGGCGTGGGCATGTATGGCTGCCAATGGAACTGGTTCTCTTGTATTTATTGATTATGTGACAGCTGACAAAAGCAGCAGGATGAATTCTGAAGTGTTTCGGGCAATATTATCTGCTCTTATTCAGCCAAATGCTTCAGAACTCATTGGACACTGCTTCACAGTGCAGATGGACAATGACCCAAAGCATACTGCAAAAGCAACCAAAAGAGTTTTTTAAGGGAAAGAAGTGGAATGTTATGCAATGGCCAAGTCAATCACCTGACCTGAATCCGATTGAGCATGCATTTCACTTGCTGAAGACAAAACTGAAGGGAAAATGCCCCAAGAACAAGAAGGAACTGAATACAGTTGCAGTAGAGGCCTGGCAGAGCATCACCAGGGATGAAACCCAGCGTCTGGTGATGTCTATGCGTTCCAGACTTCAGGCTGTAATTGACTGCAAAGGATTTGCAACCAAGTATTAAAAAGTGAAAGTTTGATTTATGATTATTATTCTGTTCCATTACTTTTGGTCCCTTAACAAGTGGGAGGCATATATGCAAACTGTTGTAATTCCTACACCGTTCACCTGATTTGGATGTAAATACCCTCAAATGAAAGCTAACAGTCTGCAGTTAAAGCACATCTTGTTCGTTTCATTTCAAATCCATTGTGGTGGTGTATAGAGCCAAAAATGTTAGAATTGTGTCGATGTCCCAATATTTATGGACCTGACTGTATATGTCTTAATTACACAATATACAAACTAACTAGGCACAGGCATCCTCCTAGTTCAAGAGAGCATCTGTGCTTTGCAATGTCCTTATTCTGCTCTGTTGTGTGCATACAAGACAGCAGTGAGCTCAGAAGTCAGGTGGCTTTCCCATATTTCTGCTGGCTTAAAATCACTGTATTTCAAAGGACGTGGATACCTACAACTACTTACCTAGTGGGCTGTCAAAAAAATTACAGTAAAAATATAATTATCAATTCTTGGTCATGTCAGAGCTTACTGAGCTTCAAAGAAAACAAATTGTTGGTGCCCACGTAGCTAGTGCCTCTGTGACTGAAGTTGCCAATTCTGAGGGTCATTCTGTTCTATGAAGCCTCTGATTTGGGCACTGGTGGGGGAGCACTATTTCACCTGGGGGAGTTTTCTATACGATTATGTGGAGAGCTATATTTGCAGGATATGTTTTTTTTTACCTACAATTCATGTTGCAGTTCTTTTGTTCGCATTGACATATTATAGATACACATACTGGACTGATATTAGTTTTGTTTTATGAGCACTGCACTTTAGCTTGGTTTATTTGGTCTTACCATTTTTTGTATCTAATGGTGTGCTAGCTGTTAGTTTATGGATTTTACTTTTAGCGCAATCTTCATGTCAAAGAGGTAAATAGACCCACCTACACTCATACAACACTTTTTACCACTCCACACTTTCAACACAATTGTCAGCCTGTAGAAGACTTGCATTCAAAGACTTTGTCTTACCAAGATGTATACTTACTAATGGAGGTCCTCCTAAGAAAATAGTTCCCTGCTTTTTAACAATTATGCTTTCATCAGCCATGGCTGGAACGTATGCTCCTCCAGCTGTACAGGATCCCATCACTACTGCTATCTGTGGATGATATTTAAAGTAGGTCAGACAGAAACCAGCCAGGTGGAATGACACAGCATGAAAAAACAATATTATTGTTTATTGCACAAATCTATACATATGGTTTAAACTGCTCTTTCATCTTTAAATGTGAATTGTATGATACAATGTAGCGCATCACTTTGAAAAGTATTTTTATACACTATATTGCCAAAAGTATTGGAACACCCCTCCAAATCATTGGATTCAGATGTTCCAATCACCTCCATGGCCACAGGTGTATAAAAGCAAGCACCTAGGCATGCAGACTGCTTCTACAAACATTTGTGAAAGAATAGGTCACTCTCAGGAGCTCAGTGAATTCAAGCGTGGAACCATGATGGGTTGCAACCTGTGCAATAAGTCCATCCGTGACATTCCCTTGCTACAAAATATTTTGTAGTTGTATTATAACAAAGTGGAAGCAACTGGGAACAACAACTCAGCCACGAAGTGGTAGGTCACGTAAAATGATAGAGAGGGGTCAGCGCATGCTGAAGCGCACAGTGCACAGAAGTCGCCAACTGTATGCAGTCTCCATAGCTAAAGACCTCCAAACTTCATGTGGCCTTCGGATTAGCACAACAGTGCATAGAGAGCTTCATTGCATGGGTTTCAATGGGAAAGTAGCTGCATCCAAGCCTTACATCACGAAGTGCACTGCAAAGCGTGGGATGCAGTGGTGTAAAGCACACCGCCACTGGACTCTAGAGCAGTGGAGACATGTTCCCTGAAGTGAAGAATCACGCTTCTCTGTCTGGCAACCCGATGGACGTGTCTGGATTTGGCGGTTGCCAGGAGAGCGGTACTTGTCTGACAGCACTGTGCCAAGTGTAAAGTTTGGTGGAGGGGGGATTATGGTGTGGGGTTGTTCTTCAGGGGTTGGGCTTGGCCCCCTAGTTCCAGTGAAGGGAACACTTAAGGCGTCAGCACACCAAGACATTTTGGACAATCTCATGCTCCCAACTTTGTGGGAACAGTTTGGGGATGGCCCCTTCCTGTTCCAACATGACTGCGCGCCAGTAGAACGCTTTAATCCTTGGGTTTTGTTAGCATTTACAGAGAATGTCTGGGGATAGTACTATCAGCAATGGCACTGTTGGCATGGCAATTTAATAAGTAGGCTTTGGGACTTTCATTGTCATTTGAGTTTACTATGTCACCATTAGTCACTGCTTTGCAATAGTCATGCAGAACAGGGGTCCAGATTTTTCAGATTTCATAATCAAATGATAGTTCCAGATCAGGAAAATCACTAGGTAGTAGTTAGGTTTAGGTTGCCATTTCTTGAGACTACACCTTTAAAATCCAAGTCAGTTCACAAATCTTGTCCTCATAGATTCAGTTTAGGGGAGCAGGCCCAAATTACTGCAGATGTCAGTTTAAAGTGACCTGATTGTTTAAAAGAAAAATGCAAAAATATTTATAAAAATTAGAAATTTTTGTTCCCTTTCAAAGCCTTCCAAAGGATCTTCACATCTGACATCTTCTCCTGCCGTGTTTTGTGGTTCTTTTCGCTGGCTCCTACATCACTTGACAGGAGGAACCAAATAGGGACACTGGTATCTGACCTGCTGGCCTAGGTAGGTATGAATTGTATTTATTTACAGGAGCATCGTTGCCAGCGATGGGGTTGCTTTTACGTAAGGTACATGATTACATTTTTGGGTTCCTGCTAGGAAATCAGCTTTCCAATTCTCCTTAATATAATTCAGATCATGCAATTATTAGTTGTGTATTGGTTCATTAAGTTCGAGTTTAGTTAAATACATTTTAGCAATTTACATTCCAAATACATTCCAAATATAAGCAAACGGATTAAAAAAAAAAAATATGTTATATGCTTAGATATAATATTCCAATTTATTGAAAATTTTCTAGATAAAGGACTATGTGGTGAAAAAGTACAAGACATACATACATGGCAGAAATATGGGGCTGTCAATGTAGGCAGCCAGTGAAGTCTGAATTCCTGTCTTGTACATATTTCTCAGACCAGGGACTCAAGATGCAGTGCAACCTGGATTAGGGTAACACTGAGTTTGCATCTTAAAAGTAAACCTGTCACAAGAGAATTATAAAAGGATGCTACTGCTGACCATTCCTTCTGAAAATGCTAGGTGCCTGGATTTCATGCTGATGTATTGGCTGCAGTTTCTGAATCTCTGCCCCAGAACAAGTATAAGGATAATAAATTCTGACACTAAAGCCAGACACAGTCAAGCAACTAGAGAATTTTTTTAAACTTATTTTTAAGGTGGCCAGTAACGGCAGTCTCTGTACTTTTCTCATGATAAGGTCAGATTACCCAATTGCTGACCACTGTACGTGTACTGTATCCTGTATATATACATCCTGTCAGCAAGTGAGAAGTTAATGGCTGAACCTACAGCCATGGGATTGGTGAAACTTTTTATAGCCAGCAATTGGCTGCTGAGTAAAAGTGATTTGGGCAGCTCTGCAGCCAGCAAGGTGTTATAACAAGTGCATAGCTGCAGTGGGCAAACTGAGAAGCAGGGCAGAATCTAGCCTGAGTGATCTTCTGGGGGTGCAGTGAATAAAAGTAAAGAGGCCTGCTTTCCAAACTAGAAAAGAGATACATACCGAACTGCTAATATAATCTGACAGACAACTAATTAGGTAGTGCTAGCCAAATGATGCACACTGCACAACACTGACTTTGCTGCACTATACAGCACACCACAGATAAAGCCGACAGATCTATGGTGGTCATCCATCCTTGTTTTTCTGTCTCTCAGGCCTCCCCCAGGCCTGGACAAAGATAATGCGTTGCATTGACCATAGCATGTCATGGCGAATGGTGGGTGTGGCCTTACTAAGATAACACTGGGAGAGATGTAAAGGGATATACTTAAATAAAACTTGAACCTACTCAATGAATGTGCAGCACACGTATGCCTTAGTCCTTACCCACTATAACATATGCTTTCATTTATATGCCATTGTGAGTCTCACAAACACATATACAGTACCTCTGCAGACCTCTTCCAGAGCTCACCACTATGCCTTCTTTTCACACCTCATCTCATCCTCCCAGCACAGCTAACCTGTGCACATTCCATGAATTCACAGCTGCTCTATTCGCTCCCGTCTACAGATCTTTTCTGCATCCTCTGTCTACGGCTCACCTCTGTGCCCCATATCCACAAAACACCTCTGATCTCTGCCCCCTTCCATATCTCATTCCTGCATCCCTGTCAACAGCTCATGATCACGGGCACCCGTGCACAGCTCACCATCACGGGCACCCGTGCACAGCTCACCATCACGGGCACCCGTGCACAGCTCACCATCACGGGCACCCGTGCACAGCTCACCATCACGGGCACCCGTGCACAGCTCACCATCACGGGCACCCGTGCACAGCTCACCATCACGGGCACCCGTGCACAGCTCACCATCACGGGCACCCGTGCACAGCTCACCATCACGGGCACCCGTGCACAGCTCACCATCACGGGCACCCGTGCACAGCTCACCATCACGGACACCCGTGCACAGCTCACCATCACGGACACCCGTGCACAGCTCACCATCACGGACACCCGTGCACAGCTCACCATCACGGACACCCGTGCACAGCTCACCATCACGGACACCCGTGCACAGCTCACCATCACGGACACCCGTGCACAGCTCACCATCACGAACCCCGTGCACAGCTCACCATCACGAACCCCGTGCACAGCTCACCATCACGAACCCCGTGCACAGCTCACCATCACGAACCCCGTGCACAGCTCACCATCACGAACCCCGTGCACAGCTCACCATCACGAACCCCGAGCACAGCTCACCATCACGGTCCCTGCCCACAGCTCACCATCACGAACCCCGTGCACAGCTCACCATCACGAACCCCGAGCACAGCTCACCATCACGGTCCCTGCCCACAGCTCACCATCACGGTCCCTGCCCACAGCTCACCATCACGGTCCCTGCCCACAGCTCACCATCACGGTCCCTGCCCACAGCTCACCATCACGGTCCCTGCCCACAGCTCACCATCACGGTCCCTGCCCACAGCTCACCATCACGGTCCCTGCCCACAGCTCACCATCACGGTTCCTGCCCACAGCTCACCATCACGGTCCCTGCCCACAATTCACCTGTGAACCCCCCAACAGCTCATCTCTGCCCCCCTGCCACATTTCACTTTGGCAACACTCAGTCTACAGCTCTCACCTTTGTACCCGACTCCATCCACAGCTCTCACCTCTGCACCAAGCACTCACTCCTTTCACCCACAGTTCTCACCTCTGCACTCAGCAGTCCCCCTTCCCTCCTATCCACAGCTGTTCTTCCCACCCTTCTGCGTTCAGTATCCACTCCCCCATCTTTGCTCCCCTTCCTGTGCTCAGCACCCCCATCCACAGCTCTCCCTCCTGTTCCCAGCACCTCTCTATCTATAGCTCTCAAGTTTGGCGCTGCACACTCCAAAACCCTTCTCTCTTCTAAAGCTCACTGTTCCTCCTCCATAAAGCAGCATATAAACTCCTCCCAATTAGGCAGCAGCCAGCATGGGATTTTTTCTTTTTTGCACGAATAGCATACCCAGTACTCTCGCACAACGGCAGTGTGCAAGGAATCTTTGCTGGGGGTGGCATTGGCACCCAGGGAACCAGTCAAGAGATGGACAAGTGTCCTGGATGCCATTGCTAACAATGCCCCCGCTCCCGAGTCTCAGCTCTGCAGTGAGGTGATCTGCAGAACAGAGATGACTAGTTGCACCTAGCAACCCACACAGCATACAAAGCAACCTGGGGGGCCACAGCCCACATTAGCACCCCATAGCTCTGGCTTTGCCAAGGAGCATGAAAATAAAGGGAAGAGGAGTATAAGCAGTGAAGGGGCTAATTAAGTGAACCAGTTTAACATTTTTGACCAGTGAAAATTGTGTGTGAGGGCTGTAAGAGCCAATTTACTTCTGAAAATAGTTGCCTGGCTGTGATGTCAAACAACGTGCTTCAGTGCTTCTGGAGTCACTGACCAAGAGTGGGTACGTATACACGAAATTCTTACTTGCATACTTGTCCTGGGTCAGTGGCTCAACATATGTATCCCAGTAGGTCAGCAAGACAACAAAGCAACCAGTATTTTCAGTACGAAAAGTCAACAATGGCAACCTCTAAGGTTTTCGCATGAAAAGTTTCCTTTATATAGGACTATAGGACTCTCATCTTACTTCCATGATCAAAACTAGCAACAAAGATCATATCCAGTTACCTGAGAGATCCCTTGTGAAGACATCTTTGCTTGATTGTAGAAGATTCTACCGAAATGATCCCTATCTGGAAATACATCTGCTTGACGAGGTAGGTTTGCTCCTCCAGAATCCACTGCAATGTAATTGTAAAGCCTTGTTAGATAACCTACATATGTTGCACATAAATGATCTAGAACAGTGTTTCTCAACCTTTTTTAAGTCAAGGCACCCTTTATAATTATGGACAATTTCAAGGCACCCTCTAAAATTATGGACAGTCCCGAGACACCCCAAATGTAAAAAAATATTCTAATAGTTTTGTATAACACAGCAACATCCACACACACGTAGGACACCCAACTTTAGAGGTGATTTACTCTTCGAAAGCAAACACATTTTTGGACACTGGTACGGACTAGTATGTCAGTGTTTCTCTTTTCCCTCAGTTTTTCTCCATCGCTGAGCTAATGTGATCCCAGCACTGATGGAGAGGGGCAGGGGAGGGTCAAACTAGGATGCTGTGCAGGCAACCGACATCCTCCTTATCAACTGATGTCATTGGTTGTCAGAATGTCGGCTAGAAGTTTGTAATAGTACACAATGAAAACCTGTGAGTTTGTGGAACTAAAAGGCAGACTTGTTCCACCCACTGGCTTGTGTTCAAATTTTAGGAAATTGGTAGACATTTTTCCAAGGCCCCCCTGAAGAAACCTCAAAGGCACCCTGGTTGAAAAAGTCTGGTGTAGAAAAGATCATCATCTTAGGAAAATAGAATAACGGCTGGATTGTTCAACTAATGGTGTCCACAGGAATATATGAGAGTATCTAGCAGGGCTGCATGACCTGCTACTTGGCCTGAAACCATGCAATGCCAGACAAAACATGAGAAGGAGGTTATTTCTATGCTATGGTTTCAGGCACTATAACGTGGTTGTAACCCTCTAAAATAAAGAATAAAAGAAGCATATAGCGGGTACTTGCCTCAATCCAAAGCACTTCATATGATTACTGCTGCTCTTTTTCCTCTGCTATTTGCATGATTCAATTCTGTCAGGTTAGACCAGCAATGGGCAAACTACGGCCCGCGGGCCGTATACGGCCCGGCGGACCTTTTAATCCGGCCCGCGGAGCTAGGCTCCCCTCACAGTCCGCCCTGAAGACCGGTGTAGCATGAAAATCTGTCTCCTATGAGGATCTGTCCCCCTCGACGTATCTGCGCATGTGCCGGAGATCGCCGATCGGCTGCTAATGCCTGAAACTGGCACATGCGCAGATATGTCGAGGGGGACAGATCCTCATAGGAGACAGATTTTCATGCTACACCGGAACGGCGCGAGACACGGCAAGAGGAACGCGCGGAGCAAAGGTAAGTGAATTGACACAGGGGGGACTTGGGGACCTAATATGGGGGATGAATTACTATATGGGGGATGAATTACTATGGGGGATGAATTACTATGGGGGATGAATTACTATATGGGGGATGAATTACTATGGGGGAAGAATTACTATATGGGGGATGAATTACTATGGGGGATGAATTACTATATGGGGGATGAATTACTATGGGGGGGATGAATTACTATATGGGGGATGAATTACTATATGGGGGATGAATTACTATATGGGGGATGAATTACTATGGGGGATGAATTATTATAGGGGGGATGAATTATTATAGGGGGGATGAATTATTATAGGGGGGATGAATTACTATGGGGGATGAATTACTATAGGGGGGATGAATTACTAGGGGGGATGAATTACTATATGGGGGATGAATTACTATATGGGGGATGAATTACTATGGGGGATGAATTACTATATGGGGGGATGAATTACTATGGGGGATGAATTACTATATGGGGGATGAATTACTATATGGGGGATGAATTACTATAGAGGGGATGAATTATTATGGGGGATGAATTATTATAGGGGGGATGAATTACTATGGGGGATGAATTACTATGGGGGATGAATTACTATAGGGGGGATGAATTACTAGGGGGGATTAATTACTATATGGGGGATGAATTACTATATGGGGGATGAATTACTATATGGGGGATGAATTACTATATGGGGGATGAATTACTATGGGGGATGAATTACTATGGGGGATGAATTACTATATGGGGGATGAATTACTATATGGGGGATGGGGGAATTACTATATGGGGGATGAATTACTATGGGGGATGAATTACTATATGGGGATGAATTACTATATGGGGGATGAATTACTATATGGGGGATGAATTACTATATGGGGGATGAATTACTATATGGGGGATGAATTACTATGGGGGGGATGAATTACTATGGGGGGGATGAATGAATTACTATGGGGGATGAATTACTATGCTTACTATGGGGGAATATTACTATACTTACTATGGATGACACATACACATAATTTATCTACTCTTGGTCCGGCCCCCGGGTCCAATATATGAACCCATTGCGGCCCTCAAGTCAAAAAGTTTGCCCACCCCTGGGTTAGACCAACTTCAAAAGATCCAGGGGATGCGGAGGGAAGTTCAAGCACACAATAGGGGATTGACAGCCTCAGCTGTGCATGTTTTGCTATGAGACTGTGTAGGGGGTGTGTGCCCATTTCCCCCACTCAGGTTTCAGATTACACTCCGCTCCCTGCTCTATGCTGTGCGGTGTGTGGCATCAGATTCCCACCCCCCGCCTCCTAAAGCTCAGAAAAGGTACAACTTATGAAGGAGGATTTTTTTTTTCATCTTTCTGTATCACCTGAGGCTAGTCACTTCACTTCAGTTTCAGGGGTATTTCGATTTGCTAAAGAAAATACACCATAACCGTTTACAGCTTTATCACATGGTAAATTTTACAGAGATAGGTACGTATTTCACATTTTTAAAACAAAGTATTGCTTTGAAAACATTTATATACGCTGAGGGCAATAAGTGTAAATGCGTCAAAAGGCAGCATAAAATGACCAATACCAGGGGATGTTTTTAAAAAAAGCAAAAAAAAACTTTATATAAAACACTGCTTTCAGTTATCAGTTGGATTCTTTATCATTTCCTTAAAGGATGCTTTAGACCCCTTTAGGTTTCTTTTTCTTTGTCTGCCTATTTCCAAAAAACTGGTCCAACAGGTTAAACAGTAAAAAAATATCAGACCACAAATACTTTACTTAACTTTATTGAGAGGACATATGGTACAAGAGAAATGCTACCTTGACTGTTAACAAGTCCAAACTCAAAAACGTAATATTTAGAGGGACAGAATGGTTAAATAACGTTTTTAAAAATCTTTTGACTCATTGTTAAAGTTGTAGCTGTTTCAGTAAAAAAAAAAAAAATTATAAAATATATATATAGTGAGGAACAGAAGTATTTGAACATCCTGCGATTTTGCAAGTTCTCCCACTTAGAAATCATATAGGGGTCTGAAATTCACATTGTAGGTGAATTTTTAAAAAAATTCTGTCTCTCAGAGTTCCCACTCTGAGAGACAGAATTTTTTTAAAAAATTCAGGAAATCACATTGTATGACTTTTAAAGAATTTGTCTTGCACTGGTGAACATAAGTATTTGAACACCTGAGAAAATCAGTGTTAATATTTGGTACAGATGCTTTTGTTTGCAATTACAGAGGTCAAACGTTTCCTGTAGTCCTTGACCAGGTTTGCACACACTGCAACAGGGATTTTGGCCCACTCCTCCACACAGTTCTACTCTAGATCTGTCAGGTTTCGGGGGGCTGTCACTGAGCAACACGGAGTTTCAGCTCCCTCCAAATATGTTCTATTGGATTTAGGTCTGGAGACTGGCTAGGCCACTCCAGAACCTTGATATGGTTCTTATGAAGCCACTCCTTGGTTATCCTGGCTGTGTGCTTCAGGTCGTTGTCATGTTGGAAGACCCAACCACGACCCATCTTCAATGCTCTGACTGAGGGAAGGAGGTTGTTGCTCAAAAGCGCACAATAAATGGCCCCATTCATCCTCTCCTTAATACAGTGCAATCACCCTGTCCCCTTGGCAGAAAAGCACCCCCAAAGCATGATGTTATCACCCTCATGCTTCACAGTAGGGATGGTGTTCTTGGGATGCAACTCATCCTTTTTCCTCCAAACACGACGAGTGAAGTTTAGACCAAAAAGTTCTACTTTGGTCTCATCTGACCACATGACTTTCTCCCATGCCTCCTCTGGATCATCCAGATGGTCATTGGCAAACTTCAGACGGGCCTGGACATGTGATGACTTGAGCAGGGGAACCTTCCGTGCAATGCATGATTTGAAATCATGACGGCGTAGTGTTCTACCGACAGTGACCTTTGAAACTGTGGTCCCAGCTCTCTTTATGTCATTGACCAGCTCCTCCCTTGTAGTTCTGGGCTGATTCCTCACCTTTCTTATCATCAGTGATACCCCACGAGGTGAGATCTTGCATGGAGCCCCAGTCCAAGGGAGACTGACAGTTGTCTTTAGCCTCTTCCATTTTCTAACAATTGCTCCAACAGTTGATCTATTTTCACCAAGCTGCTTGGCAATTGCCCCGTAGCCCTTTCCAGCCTTGTGGAGGTCCACAATTTTGTCTCTGGTGTCTTTTGACAGCTCTTTGGTCTTGCCCATGGTAGTAGTTGGCGTCTGACTGACTGTCGGGTGGACAGGTGTCTTTAAAGAGCTCAGACAGGTGCTACTAAGTTAGATTAATGAGCGGAGTAGAGGTGGACTTTTAAAAGGCACAGTAACAGGTCTTTGAGAGCCAGAATTCTTGCTGTTTCTTAGGTGTTCAAATACTTATGTTCAGCAGTGCAAGACAAATAAATTCTTTAAAAATCATACAATGTGATTTCCTGAATTTTTTTTTTTTTTAATTCTGTCTCTCTCAGAGTGGGAATGCACCTAAATGCACCTACAATGTGAATTTCAGACCCCTATATGATTTCTAAGTGGGAGAATGTGCAAAATCGCAGGGTGTTCAAATACTTCTGTTCCTCACTGTATATATAAATATAGAGCTTACCTAGGTATACACATGGGAGATGATTCTGCATTGCAATCTCTTGTGCTCGGAGGTGCTTCTTTACTGTGATGGGGTAGTAGGTTCCACCTTTCACAGTAGCATCATTAGCTACAATCAGGCACTCTATCCTGCAGAGATAAGGAAGATGCTCAGTAAGTGAACTTTTTTTTTTTTTTTCTTTTTTTTTTTAATTAATTAAATAAAAACACCACACACACACACACACACACACACACACATAAAAAAAAACAAAAAACTTTATACTGAATCCACAAAAACCTGCATCTGTCACACAGCAGTTAGGGGACTGACCTGGAATGTAGCTTGTGAATCTTTTTCAGATTTACAACAAACGTCATTTAACACCAAAAGTTTTTCACCTCTGGACTCTAAAACCAGGGTTGTGTTGTCCTACACCATGTAGCCTCAATCATCAGCTCTAATGAATAATTCGTAAAATCTGTGCATGGCAAGTGATGACAGTTTTAGGTAGTAAAGATCTTGAGTGTCATAGGCATAGGTCTAGGCATTGTCCAAAGCATGTCATTATGAGAAGGATGCAGTTGAGGCTTTTATCAATTGCAAACATTTTTTGACATGGCAGCCCCACAGGTGTCCCTGCTGTACAGCGATATAAAAAAAAAAAAAAAAAAAAAAAAAAAAAAAAAACACACCACCACCTCCAGGTAAACTTTATTGCAGATTCTTGCCTGCTTTTGTTTTGTAACTATTGATAAAGGTCTTCAGAGTAATGTTATCAAACTGTTCTGTTGGAAGACTGACCTTCACAATAAACCAACACTTCTCTTTTACATAAATAAAAAACCTCATGACCCAAATCAGAATCTGTATCCATTTACATATGCAAGAATCTTAAAAAATATTTAACCAAAAAAGCAAACTCTATTACTTGGGAAGCAGTGAGCCAATCAAATAATCAGGAAAGGTGATTTTTAAGGGGTAACTTATAAACATACTGGGGTTTATATACTAAAGCTGGAGAGTGCAATATCAGGCTCACTTCTACAGAGAAACCAATCAGCTTCAATCCTCAGCTTGTTCAATTGAGCTTTGGCAAAAAAAACCTGGAAGCTGATTGGTTTCTATGCAGAAGTGAGCCTGATTTTGCACTCTCCAGCTTTAGTAAATAAACCCCTGTTTGCAGAGGATCCTCTGTGAACCTATAGAAGGAGAAAAGTATTATTTGAATTTCATGGCAGATATATGAATTCTAATTTAAAAAAAAAAAAAAGTTTGTGTAGTGATTATTTTTGCTGTATAATTTTTTTCATCAAAACTGGCATTTTCCGATTAGTTTCAGGGAATCTCAAGCTTGAACGAAAGATATCTCTTCTGGTTCTCACCTCTCAACATGAAGTGGTCCTACTCTCCTCTTTGGAGACATAATTCAAGCACACAACTACAAAGTGCAACCAGATATAAACTAGGAGCTGTCCAAAATTAAGTAACTGCAGACAGAGGACTATATATACTTATACGACTGTAATAAAAACACATAGAAATATACATATACACACTGCTCATAAAATTAACGGAACACTTTTTAATCAGAGTATAGCATCAAGTCAATGACACTCCCGGGATATTGATCTGGTCAGTTAAGTAGCAGAGGGGGTTGTTAATCAGTTTCAGCTGCTTTGGTGGTAATGAATTTAACAGGTGCACTAGATGGGCAACAATGAGACGATATCCAAAACAGGAATGGTTTTACAGGTGGAGACCACTGACATTTTTTTCCTCACTCATCTTTTCTGTTTTTCATTAGTGTTGCATTTGGCTAGGATCAGTGTCACTACTGGTAGCATAAGGCGATACCTGGACTTTACAGAGGTTGCACAGGCAGTCCAACTCCTCCAGGATGGGCACATTAATATGTGCCATTGCTAGAAGGTTTGCTGTGTCTCCCAGTACAGTCTCAAGAGCATGGAGGAGATTCCAGGAGACAGGCAGTTACTCTAGGAAAGCTGGACAGGGCCATAGAAGGTCCTTAACCCATCAGCAGGACCAGTATCTGCTCCTTTGTGCAAGGACGAACAGGATGAGCACTGCCAGAACCCTACAAAATGACCTCCAGCAGGCCACTGATGTGAATGTCTCTGACCAAACAATCAGAAACAGACTTCATAAGGGTGGCCTGAGGGCCCAACGTGCTCACCGCCCTGCACCATAGAGCTCGATTGGCATTTGCCATTGAACACCAGAATTGGCAGATCCGCCACTGGTACCCTGTGCTTTTCACAGATGAGAGCAGGTTCACCCTGAGCACATGTGACAGACATGAAAGGGTCTGGAGAAGCCGTGGAGAACATTATGCTACCTGTAACATCGTCCAGCATGATCGTTTTGGTGGTGGGCCAGTGATGGTCTGGGGAGGCATATCCATGAAGAGACACACAGGTACCCTGACTGCCATTAGGTATCAGAATGAAATCCTTGGACCCATTGTTAGACCCTACGCTGGTGCAGTGGGTCCTGGGTTCCTCCTGGTGCATGACAATGCATGGCCTCATGTGGCTAGAGTATGCAGGCAGTTCCTGGAGGATGAAGGAATTGATACCATTGAATGGGCCCCATGCTCGTCTGACATAAATCCAATAGAACACCTCTGGAATATCATGTTTCGGTCCATCTGACGCCACCAGGTTGCACCTCAGACTGTTCAGGAGCTCAGTGATAGCCTGGTCCAGATCTGGGAGGAAATACCCCAGGACACCATCCATCATCTCCTCAGGAGCATGCCCCGACATTGTCAGGCATGTATACAAGCACGTGGGGGCCATGCAAACTACTATTTTGAGTTACTGCAATGAAATGTGAGCAAAATGGACTAGCCTGCTGCATAATGTTTTCACTTTGATTTCAGTCCTCTGTAGGTTGATAATTTTCATTTCCATCAAGCAATGTGTCATTCTTACATTTCTAAAAAAAATTACCCAGTCCATATCAGTATAGATATCCAGCATCATATTTTTCCCCATTGAGATCTGATGTGTTTTCAAAGTCCTTCAATGTTTTGGAGCAGTGTGTCTATGTATGTTTATATATATATATATATATATATATATATATATATATATATATATATACATACACACACACACACACACACACACATATACATACACACATATACAACATACTGATACAAGCTTAAAGGGTAAGTTCACCTTTGGAACATGGTACATGTTCCACTCGTATTTAGGGTTGAACAAGTAACATGTTCCAGCTCCTGCCTCTGCTCCACCCAATCCCCCCCCCCCCCCCCCCAATGACTGTGAGCAGGGGATCCTCTCCCCACACCCACTTTCAGAATTTAAAATCAGCAACAACCGCATGGCCATGTGAGGCTCCACCTACATGGCTGTGTGTCATTTATTCAGAGTCCTTTGAATGAATTTACTACAACTACTGTCAGCCACTGCAAATGACGGCTTGTAGTTCTCAATGAACTATGAGGGCGCTGGTGAATGCCCTTGTAGTTCATTGATTCTTCCTGCAATTCATGAAGGTGCAGGCAAGACAGCTAACCAATAGTCTGCAGGAGCCTGGCATTGCACCAGCAATCTGCTGATCATGGGTATGCCTTACAGGGTGCAGAGTAAAAAAAAATAAAATGCATTTTTTTCACCTACAAAAAAGATGTGCATTTATTATTATTGTTTTTTTTTTGTTTTTTTTTTATAAAAAGGTGAACTTAGCCTTAAAAAAAAAAAAAAAAAAAGAGAATATTTGCTTGTGTGTGTCAAGCTTTTACCACACAGTATTTTCAGAAGTATATCCACATCCATCAAATGAAGAAGTTCAGGCATTTCAAGTAAAAGGTTACTGTTCTTGCTACATCATACAAAGACATTTTAGACAATTGTGTGCTTTCAACCTTGGAGGGGGGGGGGGGGGCTAGTTTATTCTAGCATGACTAGGCCCCTGTGCACAAATCCTAGTCCATAAAGATGTGGTTTGACGAGTTTGATATATAGAAGCCTGAGTGTATGCACCTCAACCCAACATTGTTTGAGATAAACAAACACCCTTTAGGGGCCAGGCCTTCCCGTTTAAATTTCTACTCCCCAATGCACTTCTGGCTGAATGGGCACACAATCCCCCTAGACGCACAAATCTAACTTATGGAAGAGTGCAGGCTGTTATAGCTACAAAGGGGGACCCATTCTACATTAATGCCTATGGTTTTAGAATGGGACATCCTACAAGCTCATATAGGCATGATGGCCAGGTGGCCACATAGTAAACATAGGTCTCATGTGTGCCCAATAATACATATATTTACCTAGAACTGTGCACTCTGAGCAACATTAAATAATCTGATCAGACCATTCTTGATGAGTTCTATCGGGTACTTTTTCTGGTGAAACATTTTTGATAATGGAAAATACAAAACACTATCTGCATGGCATAAAAGGACAATAAATAGTGAAGACACCTAAAATAATGCCAGTATGAACCAACCATCACAGAACATGTTCAAAAACAGCAAATGCTCTAAAAAGCATCCACTCTTATTAGATGACAAGGGAGTTGATTTACTAAAGGCAAATATAGACTGTGTGCTTTGCAAGTGCAGATGCACTCAGAGAAAGTAAATGGGGGAAAGCTTCACAGTGGACAGAAAACCCAATCAGGTGCAAGGGAAAAAAAAACCAAACAGCATTTTTGCTTGCACATGATCAGTTGATGGAAATCAGCAAAGCACCACCACATTCACTGAGCTCTAGGGCAAATTAGTGCAACTGCAAAGCACACTGTCTGATTGCCTTTATTAATCAATAATATTTAAATCAACCCCAATGTGTCATGCAGACTCGAGACCATCTTACCCAGATACGCGACCGATTCCAGTGATCACACCTCCAGCTGGAACCTCCTCATTACCATATAACTCGTAACCAGCAAATTGTGAGAATTCCAGAAAAGTTTAATGCAGGACCTGGGGAGAAAAACGGCCGAAAAAAAAACAAAAAACATTGTTTTTTTAGTTTCAGTTTGGAAAGCGAAAAAACTTTACTTCACTGGGAGAAGAACGAAAAAATAATTGGTGGTCAGGTAAGTTTATATCGATAAATGGTTCGTTTTTTTTCTACTACCCTGAAAAAAAAAGGCTATATCAAATGGTTCTTTTCAAGGAATAAAAAGGCGTGGTTCTTCAAGGACGATACGAAGAAATATAATGGTGAGAAAATGCTTGTGAGCCCTAAGGCAACTTATCTGGATTTCTGCATCAGTGCTACCTGTATGTGGTCTGATCTTAATCTAAGACATCTCGTACAGCAAACACAAAAGGCATGGAACATAAAGAAAAAGCCTTTGTTGTCTAAAAAACATTAGGGCAAGAATAGAGTTTTCTATTGAACGTATAGGGAAGGTTAGGTCTTCTGAAATAATGTGCTGAAGACTGGTCAAACATAGGGCTGTTTTGTCACAGTAACAATAGACATATTTACAGCAACTGAAGACGATATTTGAGAAGAACCTTGTACCAACTGCTTTGCTTTTCTAGGTAGCTCACAGTCATCAAGTCAGCCATACATTCTGTATCAAACAAGGTTTGTTTAATGAGAATGTGAGGCCATTTGTTCAAAAGTTAAATAAAATAAACCTGTCAACACAATATTAATCTGAAGCACACTAGCAAATCCACCAAAACCAAAGAAGAAAATATAGAGGGTAATGGAATGCCATAGTCAAAGACCTGATTTTGAAATGGACAGTTCATGCAAGGAAACTCACAAACATCTTGCAACTGAAGGAATTTCACACGAAGTGCTCAATATGTCACAGGCTGATGGGCATTTATACAAAATACCTACAAAAAGTCATTTTTGCAACAGGGGGACTTAACTACTAAAGCTGTACTTATATGTTCCACAGCACAACATTACCATCTGTTGATATTTTTGTTGAATAAATTATTGAAAAGGAAAATTTTCTTTGTGTTTTTATTTGAGTAAATTGTTTTTATCTGTATGCACGGTTTGAATAAAAATCTAATGTTTCCATTGGAAACATAAAAAATTCCCATGACTGTAAGTTCTGCAGGGGAAGATGGAAAATTAAGTGACCCTAGTATTTTGCCCTACATGGGCAAAGTAAAGGGCCACGTTAATGCTACTTAACACAACATACTCAGAAAAAAGTTGGCAGCTCTAGCTTTATCAGTGTCAATAAACAGCACTTCCTCAGACCTAGATTAAACAAAGACACAATGTAACATGTTGTTAAATTTGTATCTCTCTTTTCATTCATTAGAGATCAAAAGGATGAACTTATGTCTGCAGATGATGTCAGTTAAAACACCCTGACAAGTAAAAACGTTTTTTTTCAATAAAATGTTCCTCTGTTTAAACCTTTATTAACCCCTACTCAGCCTTAATTAGTTCCTTAGTCTCCTTCTCTCAACTATTTAGTGTTGATTTTTTTGGTTGTTTTTAACAATTAATATTGAAACTTTTCTTTTGTTAATTTTTTTACACATTTGACATATAGTGACACATTTCTCATTTAAAAAAGTGCAAAATTAAAAAAACTAAAAAACACCCCACCCCCATTATTTCATTTGTAAATAACTCTGCAATGCTTTGGACCAGAATCATAATTATAGCATCATTTTTCTTTTTAAACTAACACTGGTCAAAAGAAAAAAAAAGTGCATTTGCTTACTTTTGTTGCATTTTATTGTCTGAGGATTGCAAAAAAGATAATCATTGTTGCAAGACAATGTCATGAAAAGAAAGCCTTGTGTGTTCTTAAAAAAAAACAATATATGTATTACCTTATTACCTTTAGTAATAATGTTGTTATTGCGGAATTAACAGATCCATAGCAGAGATGTAAAAATTTCTTTTTTTCACCTGACTACAAGTTGGGGGCCTACATAAACCTAGCAGACTACTTTTACTTACATTAAGGCTGACTTACAAGCAGGTTAAAAAAAAAGGCTATGAAAAGCATCAGACCCTGTAGTGAATGAATACAAAATATGGAATATAGAGATCGTCCATACCCAGGATCTATAAGCCTGTCGATCCTCTCCCTCGGAAGCAGTTTACCTCTTGAGGTATGGAGTGAACGGGCCTTCTCTCCTCCTCCTGTAACAAGGTCATATGTTTAACAACAATCTATGTTTGTGTAGAAGAACGTGAAGTTAATAAAAAATAATGTCAATTTAGAGAGCAGCTATGAATCTGAAATATGATGATCATTGGCAGCAATAAATTCTGTTAGTGACACTTCGGACAGGGACTATGCAAGTAAGGCTCCATTCACACTTGTGCAACTTGTCATGCAACTATGAACATCAAAGTCACATGACAAATCGCAGCCCATTCTTTTCAATGACACCCATTCAAACTGGTGTGACTTAAAGTCGCATCATTTTGAAAGGGTGCCTGCACTACCTTCGTGTGACTTTTGATGTGACTTTGGTCTCGAAAATGTAAAGTCAGATCGAAGTCACAACAAAAAATTGCTCCAAAGTCGCACTGGAAATTGTGCGACTTTGGAGACACACTAATGTGAATGGAGTCTAAAGAAAAAGTCTCAAGCTGTCAGCTATAACATTACCCTGTAATAATATTTTAGAATTAAGCAAAACACAATACCTTTGAAATTTAGGTGGTCTAAATAACTTTGTTTCAATAATTTCTTTTATTTGAATTTTTATAAAATTTACAAAGAGAATTAACCATCTAAATATCTGGAGGTGGAGGAGACATCTAAATGTATATAAATACGGTCTGAATCAGGGGCGGACTGACAACTCATGGGGCCCTCGGGCAATAGGGGATCATGGGGCCCCTGTGTCCTTGCCCACACTCAAAAAAGCCTATGAAAAAGCCGAAAGAAAGGTACCGGGGCATCTCATGGGGCCCCCTACTGACCCCAGGCCTCGGGCAGTGCCCAAGTGCTCGAATGGTCAGTCCGTCCCTGGTCTGAATGTATCTTATTACATTCCAATCCTGGAGTAAGCTTAGGAAATCTATAGTACTCATTTCATATAGTACAAGATGTGTTATAAACGTTACTGTGAGAGTTGGACAGGTCAGTCTAGGGAAAATCAAGACATGAATGGCTCTCGACTTAATGTACATTTATGGATAGCATTAGATATATTCGGATGACAGACCATAAGGGGATCCCTTTGATAAGCTGACGCCCTGTGACATAATGCAGGTTTTTGGGGGTTAAAACAGGTATTGAAGAGGTGATATGTTGCCTCCTCACTTCCTATTTTTGCCCCAAAACCCTGCATCATCACACTGCGGTAATGCAACATGATCTGCATTGGATCCTCTTCGGGGTCCTTTTGACAGATGGTGAGGAGGCAATATGTTGCTACCTCTCCACCTGTTTTAACCAAAAAATCCCACACCATCACATTGTGGTAATGTAAAGCGATCCGTGGTGGATCCCTTTTCAGAGGCTGTTTGACAGGTGGTGAGCAAGCAATAAATTACCTCTTCCTCGCCTATCAAATGCCCTTTGAAGATTGATCTACTGCAGATCGCTCATCAGAGGGCACTGCAAATGTAAACAAGCCCTAAATGTGATACATATACTCAAATACAATTCAGCAAAAAATTAAGAATAGAACTGCAAAGTGAAAAATAATGTCCTTAGTACCGCTAATCAGTGCAGGTGCTTCTGCTCCAAACAATATGTGATTCGTGCTCTGTGCTCCCCTTCTGTGTGCCCAACAACTCACCAGATATATTGGACTCTTATGATGAAATAAGAATCATGTACGCTTTGGTGGGGAATGTGGAGTTCCTGCTGGGTCTTGTAGTCCTCCTGATTAAATGAAGTTTATGGTCCTCAATCATTCCATGAAGCGGGATATATGCATTCAAGGAATGGAAAAGGCATCCGAACAGGGCGATTCCATTTATTATTAAGTAAAACGGACATACACTGGTCCGTAACTAACGCGTTTCGCCACTCCCACTGGGCGTCCTCAGAGGCATCCCAGGATGCCCAGTGAGAGGGGCGAAACGCATTAGTGCGAACCGTGGTCACTCCCTACAGGTGTTTGTAGAGCACAAGGGGCTGCTTCGCCTTCTTATCAGCGTTCATGCTTGTTTTATTTTGGAGACATGTGAATGTATTACCAGTGTATGTCAATTTTACTTAATAAACGAAATCGCCCTATTCGGATGCCTTTCCCATTCCTTGCATGCATATATCCCACTTCATGATGGAATGATTGAGGACCATAAACTTCATTTAATCAGGACGACTACAAGACCCAGCAGGAACTCCACATTCACCACCAAAGCATGCATGACTCTTATTTCATCATAAGAGTCCAATATATCTGGTGAGTCGGTGGGTACACAGAAGGGGAGCACAGAGCATGAATCACATGGTTTTGAAACAGAAGCACCTGCACTGATTAGCGCCACAAGGACAATTTTTTCCACTTTGCAGTTCTATTCTTAATTTTTTGCTGAGTTGTATTTGCGTAGATGTATCAAATTTAGGCAGCGCTTTTATTGTATTTGGTTTCTATGTAGCAGGTCTTACCTGCAAGGAAGCAGCAGCCTAATAATAGGTTTATTCATCTTCGCATCACTGGGTGTAAATTGTGAACACTAGTATCTGCACTTTACATCAGCACTTAGTCTAGCATTTTTGTTGAGTTGCATTTCTTGGTGAATATATATATGGGCAGCACAGTGGCTAAATGGTTAGCACTTCCGCCTGGCAGTACTGGGGTCATCGGTTCAAATCCCAACCACGGCACCACCTGCCTGGAGTTTGCATGTTCTCCCTGTGCCTGCGTGGGTTTCTTCCGGGTACTCCGGTTTCCTCCCACACTCCAAAGACATGCTGGTAGGTGAATTGGATCCTGTCTAAATTGGCTCTAGTTTGTGTATGTATGAATGTGAGTTAGGGACCTTAGATTGTACACCCCTTGAGGGTCAGGGACTGATGTGAATGTACAATATATATATGTAAAGCGATGCGTAAATTGATGGCGCTATATAAGTACCTGAAATAAATAAATATATATATATATATATATATTATTTTTTTTTTTATTTTCATGGAGTTGTATTTTTGCTGAATTGCACCATGCTTCTATACTTCTGGGCAGCGCTTTGTGTGTGGTCTGAATGTAGCAATTTTTCACTTGAATAGAAGCAGCAGCACATTATTAGGTTTATCACGATTGCATTCAGTATTGGGTGTATGCTGATGATTTGGTTGTCCTAGGCATGGGTTAATCATTATATAAAGCTCTAAGGCTAGGTTCACCTATGTGCAGGTGGTGCTGCTGCGGATCCGCACAAAAATCCGTGCAGCTGCTCCACCTGCACAGAAGAATGCGGAACCGCGGGCGGGTGCCATTAATACTAATGGCATGCCGCCCGAACTGGGAACCGAGGTTCCCATGTGGGCTGCGATGTCAGAAGAAGTGCAGGGACTTCTTCCCTGCGTGTCCCGAGGCGCGGGAGTCCATTCAAATGAATGGGCTCTCTTTCCCACGCAAAACGCAGACCACACATATGTGAACCAGGTCTAAATGTATACTCTCAGCCAAGCATTGTTGTGGACCAACAGCAGACACAATGAACAGAAGGCAGTAGGATCTTGACTGTGTGCAATAGCCCTCTAATATCTTTAAACTTACTAAATGAAATTATATATAAACATGCATTGACTTCCATACGTGTGTGTTTCCTACTATACAACAGAGCTCCATTCCTGCCAGTCTGTAAAACAGTACTTCAACTAAAACAATAAGGACATAAGAACCCATTTTGTTCTATGCGTGTGTATTGTTGTGCATGATCATGTATCAACATCCTTTTATGTGCATTGCCATGCCTTTTTAAATTTGTAATTTGGAGTGCATAAGATTAACAGCCATTCACCAAAACTTGTTAACACCTGTTGATATTATGCGTTTTAATGCACTGTTATTGATTTCTATGGGTCTCCCAATGCGCCAAAATGCAGAAAAAAAAGACAGACATGTATTTTCAAAAAATAGACTGCACTGCTAAGATGAGAACAGACACTACATTATGATCAACAACACATTTTATCACACTGGAAAATATATAATAAAACACTTGTAAGCAAGCCCCCTGTGATAGGTTTGTTTTTACCTCTTTAGATAACAAAGATGTAACTAAGAGCCACAAGGCCCTGGTGTAGAATCTTATTCAGGGCCCCGTTATATCTCATCCAAACAACGTTCCCATTCAAACAATAAAAATCTGCTATATGTCATGCAGAGCACCAATTAAAGGTTGAAACAGCAGAAAACATGACTTGAAGAAGTAGTATTCTGTACAGAATGTAATGTGAATATAATGCTAGTTAACAAAAGGTATTAGGTATGATGACCTCATGGGCCACATCTCATGTACCACTTGTAATTACACCCTACACTGATGTACATAGCAACTCATAGTTTCATTCATAAAACATCCTCTTTAAAGTGGTTGTCAGTCCCTACATATACCCAGTGAAGTGACAGGTGATACAGAGGTGAAATCCTACATAAGTTGTACCTGTTATCTGCAGCCTTCTCTTCACTACAGCTGTTCACAATCTAGAATTTATACAGCTTGTCTGAGCTCAGTAAGAGTTGACTGGAGGGCAGGGACACCCCCTCCCCCTTTATGCAGCACACAGGAACAGAGCTGAGGCTGTCAATCACAGACTGTGTGCTGGGGATCCCTCCCGTGTCACCTTTTTTTCTCTTGGTGTCAAGAAAACTTGTCAAGATTGACTCATGCAGATAGAGAATGGATGCAGCAGACAGAAATTACACTTAGGGGGTGATTTACAAAAACTGGAGAGTGCAAAATCTAGTGCAGTTGTGCATGGCACTCAATCAACTTTTAATTTCAGTTCGTTGAATTAAGCTTTGACAATAAAACCTGGAAGCTGATCGATTTCTATCCAGAGCTGCACCAGATGTCGTACTCACCAGTTTTAGAAAAATCAACCACATAGCGCTGTGGATAGAGACAAGTACACACTATAGAGGGATATGCTTTGTTCATATTTCATGTCTGAGGTTTACAACCACTTTAAGGTGCAGCTTCCCAGTGCAGTGACAAGCCTTTTTTTAA